ATGGAGGTGGGGGCCTCCGGCCGGGGAGAAGCCGGCCGCGCTGACCCAGGAAGGCGGCGAGGCAGAAGTGCCGGCGGCTAGCGACTAGGTCCCTGGCGTCGCCGCGGCGGCAGCTCCAGTCCCGACTCCGCACTCACGACAGCGGCCGCGGTGGCTCAACCCTCCTCCTCGTGTGTGCGAGCGGATCTCCTCCCACCCAGCCCAACCACCTCCGGCTGCCTCACCGCCAACCCTACGCCCGGCGGTGGGTTGACCCCTCCCCGCCACCCGTACCTTCGCCTCGGTAGTTCCCAGCCCTGTCCGTCCCCGTTTCCGGCTACGAAAGGCGGCAGAAGACAGAACTACGAGTTCCGGCAGCGCCCGCGCGACCCTGCTGCGGTTTTCCCGGGGGCCGATGGGAGTCGGAGTTCAGGGGCCGGGCGCAGCCGGAAGCGACTTAGCTCCCAGCAGGCTGCGCGAGGAGGCGGAGGTCCAGTGGCCGCTCGGCAGCACCGCTTGTCACCCGGTGGAGGCCGCGGCAGGCCCTGGCCAGTCTCCCGGCGGGTCAGAAGACCCAGCCTTTAGCTCAAAGGAAGGGCCTACCCGGTTTTTAAGTACAGGGCGAGGGAAAACGGATAGCATTTAAATATGGAGAAGGGGAAAAACACTCCCGAAGTCCCCTTCCATCTCGTCACCTTCTCTACCTCTGAGCCTCAGTCCCTCTCTCTCTCTCCACCTTGCTGCTCCCCAGCCCCCGCCAGTTTTGTGCCCTACATTTCAAAGCCGATGGGGAGCGTCTTTCATGTGATCCTTTGCGGAAGGGACTATAAAACCGTGTGAGTTACAGCTTAAACTGCAGCGTGGCTCTTCAAAGGGCCCTGCCCGGGCAGGAGGGTTGTTAACTGGAAACTTGGGATGACTCACAGTCTGTTTGACTAGTTATTAACAGCCTTCACCTAAACTTTTCCATCTCGCCCTCTTCCCTGCCAAGAGGTCTGCAAGTTAAACCGAGGATGGCCGTGCTCCGTCGTGTGTCTGGCCGTGCCTAGCTAATGGGACTAATATATTTTTTAATCGCAATTAGGTGAAGAGGTTTTCTTTTGAATGGTCTGAATTGTTCAAGTATTCCCATAGTTCTTCAGTGACTGCATATCACACTTAAAGGCTACGTTTAGGTAAACATTAAAAAAAAAAGTGCAAAAGCAAAGAGAAATAGTTTGCATTTAGTCCTGACTGAGGTCAGAAAACGTGTTGTTCTGAGTACTTGTTAGGTTTTCCCGTAACTCAAACATGAGGAGCTCAAGGCAGGAAAACATTGTTGTTATTTTCTGAAAGGAGTGGAAACGGAATGCAACTAACTTACCTAGACATTACCCGTAAGGGAGTGGACAGACAGAAAATAGATTAGGTTGCTTAAAAAAAAAAAAAAAAAGACAAAAAACCTAAGTCTCAATTTTAAACACTTATTTTGTAAAGATAAAAGAGAATTCAGCCTAATGAAATAGATCAGAAAAGACGCCATCAGTTATCTTTAAAACAAGTCCCATGTTCTAGTGGATTCAATTGGTGTTTAATGTTACACTAGCAAACTATGGAATGCTTTTTTTCTTTAACACACAACACGTGGGAAGTTGATTATTATAAATGTAAAGAAACTGGAAATCTCCAATAGAACAAGATTCAGGATTTTCATCATGTCTGTAGTGCATACTCCCTGAAATCTTATGGAAATTGTTTTTTGTTTTTGTTTTGGTGGGCTTTTTCCCCCGTAGAATGTTCTGATTCCAACCTCTTAATATAGTTCCCTAAATACCCAGTGAAATCCCTCTTAAGAATGGTCATTTTCAGGTTGATATTAAGTGAATGCCCTCGGATTTACAGAGAATTTATTAACAATTGTCATAGAGATCAGAGATTCTTTAATATGTAAGAGATATGCGTTATCTTTGAATGAAATATTTTCATTTTTTTTTTAGTCATGAGAAAATACATTGTGTCTGAAATAAAATGCATTCTTACTCAAGATTGTACTTCCCAACCCACTTCTGAGAAAATGGAACACACACAGCTGACGCAAATAGTAAACCACACAGTCCTTCTCCAAGTAGCTTGTCATCAGAAACCACACCGCTCTGGTTGTGGGATCCCTCCTAGGGCACTGGGTGATCACACTCTGATAGGTCAGCCCTGCACATCTAATTAAATTGACAGTGCTTCTTTGTGCCTAGTAGTTTTTTCTAAGGACAAAAGCTGAAACTGCTAAGACTGGTACTTAGAAAAGCAGTTGATGTCATTAAAGTCCCTGTCTCCAAATAGGATAATTATGGATATTCAGGCAAGAATCCACTCCATTGGTTTTCAAAAGCTTTGACCTGCCAGGAGGGCAAGAAAGTGAGAAATTCTTGTTAATTACTGTTGTGCCAAGAATGAGTGACTTGAGGACAGGGTCTTAATCTTCTTTATATTCCTATTGCCTAATGTAATGCCAGGCATACAAAAGGTGCTTAATAAATGTTAAATTGGATGATCCTGCCCTTTTCTACTCATTTAGAGCTGTTGAGACAAAGGCCTAATAACTTTAAAAAATATTTTTCCAAGAATGTATTAACAGGAATGTATACGTAGGATTAGTTTGACAGCAGCTTTACATGGCAGAACTATGCTCATTCAGGGTCTGAACCACATCACAACAGGTAACTCCTGTCTTCCTATGCAAATTCTACCAGCTGCCAGCTGGGATGCTTAGCAGTCTCTCCTCTCTCTCTGCTTCTCTCTCTCTGTTTTTTTTTTTTTTTTTTTTTTTTGGTGCTGGGGATTGAATCTGGAGCCTAGTGCATTGCATGCTAAGCACAGGTTCTACCACTAAGCCACACCCTCAGCTCCTCTCTTTTGTTCTTTTCCTTCTTCGATAAATTGTAATCTCTTTAAAATGCTTCAGGGTCTCAGTATTTGTACTTTTAAAAGAACTGCACAGTGCTTTGTTTTGCTTTTTGAAATCTGAGTCCATCTCTTATGCTTCCAAATATGGGCTGATATGAAAATTCACTGCTTGACCAGGGATTTAACAGATGAGAGTGTGTCACACAAATGGACACTGGTGTTGTTCCATACTTGAGATCGTTTTCTGCAAAAATATGAATAGCTGGGGGTGGTGGCACGTGCCTGTAGTCCCAGCAGCTCAGGAGGCTGAGGCAGAAGGATTACAAGTTCAAAGCCAGCCTCAGCAACTTAGTGAGGCCCTAAGCAACTTAAAGAGACTCTGTCTCCAAATAAAAATAAAAAGTCTGGGGATGTGGGTCAGTGGTCAAGAGCTCTTGGGTTCAATCCCCAATGCAAAAAAAAAAAGAGAGAGAGAGAGAGAGAAACAGACTACAGACTAAGTGCTAAAATAGAAATACATTTAAAATACATGACAAAACAGAGGAGCAGAGGAAAAATAATACATTTAGCCTTCCGTATCCACGAGTTTCACATCTGTGGCTTCAACCAACCATGGATCAAAAATACTTGGGGAGCTGGGGGTTGTGGCTCACTGGTAGAGTGCTTACCTAGCATGCATGAGGCACTTGATCCCCAGCACCACATTAAAAAAATAAATAGACAAAGTAAAGGCATTGTGTCTATGTAGAACTAAAAAATATTTTTAAAATACATCGGAAAAAAAGAATTCATGGGATATGGTTCAGTGATAGAATGCTTGCTTCATGTATGAGGCTCTGGGTTCCATCCCCAGCACTGCAAAGAATAAAATTTAAAAATTGTGTCTCTATGGAATAGATGCAGACTTTAAAAAATTTCCCTAAATAGAACAGTGTAACAAGTATTTATATCATATTAGTATTATAAATAACTAGAGATGACTTAAAGCCTATGGGAGGGTATGTGTAGGTTGTAAACAAATACCTTTTTATATAAGGGACTTGAGCTTCTACCAATTTTGGTGTGAGAAGTGGATTCCTGCAAGCAGGTTCCTGTGGACATCCAAAGACAGCTGTGCCTCTAAGTGTGCAATATGCTCTTGGTGTGAGCTGGCTTAAGAGCATCTAGTTTTCCCTCTCCCTTCATTGCTCTGCCTTACATCGTCACATCTCTGATCTTCGTTATCCACCAGCTTCCAAGTCCCGTCCTCAGAGCAGAGCCCTCCCCAAGCCACCTGGTCCTCTACCAACCCAGATGGCCCCTTTCTTCACAATACTTCATCAGGATGTGAAGGCTGTTCATTCCCATGCTTAAGGGCCCCGTCCTCTCACTAAAGCCCAGCCCATCAGTGTGTTACTCTCCTTGTGTTCTGGGCACCAGACATTGCCTGGGCTGGTAGAGTGCTCAGGAAAGGATTAGTAGAGGGGAAAAACATTTTACTTGGACATTACAAAATTTCTTTTTGGGGAGAGTGTGGGGGGGTGTTTACTAAGTATATTATTATTATTATTTTATTTGGAGACAGGGTCTCACTAAGTTGCTTAGGGCCTCACTAAATTGCTGAGGCTGGCTTTGAACTTGTAATCCTCCTGCCTCAGCCTCCCTGAGTTGCTGGGATTATAGGTGTGGGCAATTGTGCCTGGCATAACACTTTTCAAAGTGCAAAAAGGTACATATTAAGTTGCAAATGTGGGCTGGGAAAATGGTTTAAAGGTGGAGGGTTTGTGTGAGGCCCTGGTTCATCCTCAGTACTGCCCCAAAGAAAAAGAAACAGTAAAGGTAAGGTGTATTTGTGAGAGGGGATTGGAAGTGCAAGAGAGAACTCAGGAGAAGAATTGCAATGTTTTACAAGTGCTTTGGTTGTTTAAAAACTTCTATTATTTGGTTTTGGGGATTGAACCCAGGGCCTTACACATGCTAATCATGTACTTAACTATTGAGGTGCCACCCTGAGCAATAAATTGCATTAAAATTTATTAAAATTAATGTTTGATTATTTTTAATTATTTTACATAAATAAAATTACCCATTTTGGCTGGGCATGGTGGCTGACGCCCGTAATCTGGCTACTCGGGAGGCTGAAGCAGGAGGATCACAAGTTCCAGGCCAGTTGAGGCAATTTAGTGAAACCTTGTCTCAAAATAAAACATAAAATGGGCTGGGGATGTACCTCAGTGGCAAAGCACCGCTGGGTTCAAACTCCAGGACCAAAAAAAGTAATTAATTAAAATTTAAAAGGGATAATTTTAAAGTGAATAGTGAAGTGACATTCAACACATTCATTTTTTTTTTTTTTTGGTTGTTGTTGTTATAGCTGGACACAATACCTTTATTTTATTTATTTATTTTTGTGTGTTGCTGAGGATCAAATCCAAGGCCTCACACGTGCTTGGCAAGTGCTCTACCACTGA